CATGGGTAAGAGAGGTGGTGGAGGACCTAAACTTGGAGACGGCCACAGAAAAGGAGCACTCAGTGAGATAAGAGGAGAACCTCTCCAGAGCAGATCCTGATAGGCCTACCCAGTCTCTCAGCCTCTCCAGTAGCAGGTGATGGTCAACAGTGTCAAAGGCTGCAGTCAGGTACAACAGGACCAGAACAGAACAGTCCCCTGCATCACTGTGAGTCAGAAGGTCATTAGAGACCCTAAGAAGAGCTGTTTCAGTAGAATGAGCTCTACAAAAACCTGACTGGAAGCTATCATAGATGTTATGTTCATCAAGAGCATGCTGTGAGTTGTTTAGCCACAACCTTTTCCAAGATCTTTGAGATGATCGGAAATTTAGAGATGGGTCTGAAGCTGCTATGGAGAGAGGGGTCGAGACTCGGTTTTTTAAGAAGCGGGTGGATTACAGCATTCTTAAAGTAAGCAGCGAGCTGACCAGAAACCAGAGAAGCATTAATTATAGAAAGCATGCTGGGACTGATGGACAGAAAAGCTCTTTTAAACAAAGATGAGGGTAAGATGTCGAGGGGGCATGCAGAGGTCTTCATAGAGTTAACTAGTTTGGTTAGCTCAGGCAAAGAAACCGGAGCAAAGCTATGTAGGATGATGGGCCTGGTTGGAATCGGGAGAGGCAGCGATAAGGCTGAAGGAGAGATGCTAGATCTAACCTTATTGACTTTGTCCACAAAGAAAGACAGAAAGTTCTCACAGTCTGCAACAGAGTGGACGGAGGCTGTAGGAGAGGCAGGAGAGACAATGCTGCTGATGGTGTTAAACAGCACCTTGGGGTTCCCTTTGCTCTGGGACACCAGGTTGGAGAAATAGGAAACCCTCGTGTCTCTGACTGCAGAGTTAAAGGATGACAGAAGATCCTTTAGGTGCAGCAGATGGACGTGGAGATGGGATTTCTTCCACAAATGCTCAATTTTTCTGCATTGGCGCTTCAGGCTGCGAAGGCTGTCATTAAACCAGGAAGTAGGGTTCACTGCAGGAACTGATCTGGATCTGACAGGACAGATGTTGTCCAGAATGGAGAGGCAGTGCTCGTTAAACTGAGAAGTTAAGGAATCTGGGTCATTATCAGAAGAACAGGGTGGATCAAAAGCAGCAGAAAAATTGCTAGCTGTGCTCTCATTAAGAAAACGAGAACTAACCATACGGCGAGCAGGAGGTGGGGACGCAGAAACTGACAAGTTAAAGAAAATGCAATGGTGATCTGAAATATAAACGTCCTCACGACAAACACTGTCAGCATTTAGACTCAGGGTAAAAACAAAGTCTAGAGTGTGCCCCCTGGTGTGTGTGGGGCCAGAATCATGCTGGGTAAAGCCGAAGGAGTCCATAAGGCTGGAGAAATTCATGGCAAAGTGATCGGAGGGATCATCTACATGGATGTTAAAGTCAACAACAATCACCAGTCTGGACAGCTTCACAGTGGAGGATAGAAAGTCACTAAACTCCTGAAGGAAAGAACTGTTTGGACCAGGTGGACGATAGACCACAGCACAGTAGAACGGGTCCTTATGCCCGACTTTAATCAGCTGCAGTTCAAAGGAAGCAAAGTGACCAGAGGTTGTAGAGCTACATGGAAGATGGTCTCTGAAAACAACAGCTAGGCCTCCACCACGACCAGAACCCCGGGGCTGGCTAAGAAAAGAATAACCACTCGGGCAGAGTTCAATCAGACCAGAATAATCAGATGTTTGCTGCCAAACTTCAGTCAACAACAGAAAATCCAGGTTTTCAGAGAGAATTAGATCATTCAGCAGGAAGGTCTTATTGTTAACAGAGCGGGTATTTAATAGAGCCATGCTGAGTGAGGTGGAGGAATCAGAAACTACAGAAACAGCTGGAGTAAGTTGACGTAAATTAGCAGAGTTAGATCCACGGTGTTTGTAAAAACCACTTATGGAGGGAACATGAGGAGAAATCTCTGAGGAATGAGGATAAACCGACCTTAAAAAACTTGGACGGATGAACTGCGTCACAACGCAGCCTGGCGGGAATGTGGATGTGGCGCTCAGGTCACCAAACAAAGGACAAGAAGCTAGAAGATCACGCCGATGTTTACTAGATAAACCACGCTTTAAGAGAAGTCTTATTCTCACCTGGATTCCTGCTCGTTTACCTCTTTTCTTCTGACGTTTTCCCAGGACCGGACAAACATAGCCGGAGGCGGGCAGCTCGGGACTGTCGATTGGTTCCGGGCCGGTGCGCCACTCAGGTAAACAAACAGGGAGGTGCGTCCTCGGTGCATGTTGGGCGATCGTGAACGAACGGAAGGACAGAAGAGTCTGGCGATCATAGGAGATGGTAGCAGGGACACTACTGAAGAGGATCGCAGACAGTAGCAAGGTGGAAAAGAGGAGGTTAGTGGAGAAAAGTTTGAAAAAGTGGCCAGTGACCGCGGCTAAGCCAAGCACAGGCGCCATCTTGTTGCCGACCGGAGAGGTTACATCTCCAATCTGGTCTGGGAACGCCTTGGGGTCCTGCCGGAGGAGCTGGGGAGGTGGCCGGGGAGAGGACAGTCTGTAGCTCCCTAGTTGGGAAGCTGCCCCCACGACCCGGATAAGCGGAGGAAGACGACGACAAAGACGAAGAAAAAATGTACAAATTACTGTTTTCACCAATTAATTTATATAAAGCAACTCACGTTGAAGATAGTTTTAGAGTTGATGGGTTTTTCCTGTCATGGTTTTATGATTTATCACTGTTAAATATACGGTTATTTTTTACAGTGAACTTGTTCCGTGCCTGTTACAAAGAACAATCCACTCTAGAAACACAAATAAATCATGTATATCTCTACCAACCTCCATTAGTATTTCTTTAATTTTAAAGAATAAAAACCTTTATTTACTTATTGTCTGTCAGCAAAAGTAGCCCACCACTAGTGCATTGGTATTTTCAGTTGCAGAGGCGAATGCTTGCTGCAGTTGCACTATATTACTGTACGCAAAGGTCTGTGCACCCCCTCCCCTCCCCTCCTCTTCCTCCTCCTCTCTCCTCTTCCTCTGCTGCTCTCCATCTCTCTCAGTCATCCTCTGCCGCCGTGGAGCTCAGCCCACGACGCTGGATGGGAAAAAAAAGAAGGAAATTTTCCTCTTTGCTTTCAGCCAATGCGCATGATCTTGGATGAGAGAGAAGTGAAGGTATCGTGCTTTTTAATGCTTGTTTTCACTTTCAGATTAAAGCATGGGTTGAGTTTAGGGTTGCTGTGATAAATCAGTGGATTTGAGCGAGGGCAGGGCGAGAACGCAGCACATGACTCTGGTGCAACAGAACCTCACAGAGATGATTTTGGGTGATTGTTGGAGAGTTGTAATCACACAAATGTGGTTGGCTGTTCTGTCTTTTATCGTGCCTGCCCGTTTTAAACGCGTGCCAGAAGTGATTCAATCTGTGGTCATCGTTTTAAAGTGTCTCATGAAGCCAGCAGTGCATTTACGCTGGATTCTGCGGAGATAGGATGGCCGGGCACAATACGCGCCATGGACAGATGTGCGAGGAGGGATTTAGTGTCGAGGGAGGAATCACGCAGGGGGATAAAACTGGTGGTGCACGCGCGCGCGAGCGTTTATTCAAGCGTTTATTATTCCATTTTTTTTCTCTCTTGTAGAGTAAATGGTCCAGCTCTCCAGCAGCGCTCACTACTCAGTCGCACGACACCACCTGCAGTGAGGGCTTAAGCCACATTTAGTTCTCCCCGCATGCATGAGTTATTGAGTGGATGCGATTGTGTGCAACACACACACACACACGCACACACACACGCACGCACGCACGCACGCACGCACGCACGCACGCACGCACACACACACACACACACACACACACACACACACACACACACACACAGGAGATTTCATGCCTGCAGCAGCAAGTGTCCGACTACTGACCGATGGACCACACAGATTCCTGCACGCCCACACACTGTAGACTGCCAAGCATAGCAGCTACAATGAAGTGTTTATTCTTATTTTCGTTTTAATGAACCTGCTGTGCATCTATAAACATATTTGTGTCCTAATAATGATGAGGGTGCAAAGCTTCAGCACCACGAGTCAGATTAAAGTGGGGCTTTGTGGGTCATGAGCTCCACATGACTGAAGGTGCTTGATTTCTTGAACGTGATCATGCAGAATGCGAATGCCCAAGGTTCACGTGATGCATTGTTAAATATTATCATAGACATGTATTATTTTTCTGGTGATTTTTCTATGTTTCAGCTATCTTGAAGTGTCTTTTTTTTAAAAGATTTAGACAGTCACTATTTTCCTTCTTTCCTGAACAGCCTTTGTTTGGAGAAATAGTTATACTTTATAGCATCGATGAGTTAATTGCTAGGCGGATAACTAGTCAAGATCAAAGTGTACCTACTATTAAGTCTCGTTCTCTAAAATGTCACAGTAATTCATGCAATTTTCATGCATTACTATTGGTAAGTTGGTTTTTTTGATTACAGTAATCCCTCGCTACTTTGCGGTTCGTTCATCGCGGATTCGCTGCTTCGCGGATTTTTTCTTTGGAGCATTTTTCAGGGGGAATTCGCAGATTTGCGGTATTTTTCACTGATTCGCGGTATTTTTCTATGCGAAATATCAAGAAATTCTTGTTTTTTTTCACCAGTTTCATCATAAAATGCACTTTATGTAATAAAACTAAAAAACCAAGTAAAAATTTATTTCTTTAGTTTTACCCACAAAAACAGAATGTGATCATACGATAATTCAATATAGTACTGTATGTCAGACAGGTCAGCTGGATTCGGGAGTTGAGCTTGTAGGGAGCGTGGTTTCACAGACGCGGAAGTGATAGCGTCGGTGAAACGCCGGCTGACTTAGGAAACCCCCGAGCGTTCGAGCGTCAACGAAGTGACACGGAAATACCGGGCTTTCCAGAAGTAAGTAAGATAACTTACTATGAGCTGATAGTTCGTTGGATTGATCGGTAGGTTGGAAACTCAGATCATGAATCTGAAGAAACGATGACTGAGTGGTGAGCTGGAAAGGCGACTTCCGTTTATAGCCGCGGTTTGTGACGTAGGTGCAACGTGGAGGGAATCCCCGCGAGGGGCATGCTGGGAGTCCCTACTTCGTGGATTTTCACCTATCGCGGCCAGGTCTGGAACGCATCTACCGCGATAAACGAGGGATTACTGTAATGAGTTTTAGTTAAATGTGTTAATGCTGAGCTCCTTATCCCTGTTGTGGTTTTATGAATGAGAAGGGGTCATCAACAAGGAAAACATTATCGGCACTACATTTAAAATCGCTGAGATGGTTTCACTTTTACTTAACCTATGACACAACATAAAGTATAAAACAGATTATGAAATAAACTCTGCTAGTTGTTGCTCATCTCAATGCACAATGTGTTTTTGTCATCAATCATGCGGTTAAAGAGGGTCAGAAAACCCCATGGAGCAAAGTCACAGAGTTGCTGATTCCTGCTGAACACAAGTCAAAACACAGTTTATAAACATCGTCTGTTTCTTTATCATAACCGGATCCTTGTGTGTAACTCGGGTTTGCAGCAGTGTTTATCAAATGGGACTCATGGGAGATCATTAAAGAATATTTACAAAGCTGTCGTTTAAAACAGGGTTTATAAAACAGACTGGTGATATTAAGACATTGGTTTGCACTGCAGGACTAACAAAAGAAAATTTATGATCTGTGTAGATAAATTGTGTCCCTGCTTTATGATCCTCTAGGTAAAAAGCTAATTTGCTCTGAGAGCATTTCAGGCACAAAATGGCAGCAAAAGCCTTCCACTGAGCTGGTCGTAGGTCACAAAATGACTGGAGAATTGCAGGACCACGCATGATTTCAGTATTTAACGCGATAACAAGCAAGGAGTATGCTTGCTTTTTAATAATGCGAACACGTGTGGTTGCCTGTCTTAACTTGTATTGATTTGAAGCATGGTTTTTGTGCATCCCCCAAAATGAATGCAACACGATCACAAGCTGCAATGTGCGAGTAACCAGTAGATGCACAAAACGAGTGAATCACACTCGCTGTTGTCACTCAATCTTTAGTTTAGAGTTCTTCTGTACTATCTACGATGCTGCTGCTGTCTTTTATTCTGCCGTGATTTCAAAATTAACCAGTTACTGATGTTTGTTTTGATTCTACCCCACAATCCCGGGACTGTATTTGGTCTGAGTTTGCTACTGTGCCCCCTAATGGAACACTCCAGTACTACACGCAGCAGCAAGTATGTGAACAAAGACGCAGCTGACTGCCTGCACCAACGCAAGGTTAAAGAGCACGTAATCCTAAGACCTAAGATGTCAGCAAGAATCCCAAAAGGTCTTTGGTTTATTTTCTGTTCTGCTTACCTCGACTACGGAGGTTTCACAGGTAATGACGTACCTTTAAAAAAACTATTTAAGTAATCCTGCGATGGACTGGCAATCTGTCCAGGGTGGCCCCCCATTACCCTGCATGGACAAGCGGTGCAGTAAATGGATGGATGGATTTGAGCAATCAGAAATCTAAATGTGACTTATTTAGAAAGTTTCCAGATGTTTTACACTGCTTTAATGTTAAACTATCTATCTAGCCAATCTGAACTGCAGAGCTTGACGCGTTTTTTAATTGTAGTGTATAAAAAATAGACTTGAAGTATACATTTAGCGAAACAATGTGAAACGCACCCATCCAGTAGAACGCAGACTGGTTACTGCATACTTTTCTTCCTGGACGTTAACTAATATAAAAATATTCTTAATGGACCTGCATAGGAAGTGGAATATTTTCCTTGTGATATTAATAGTACTTGTTATGAATTTATAATTACGTGCAAATAGTGATGAAAATGCATAAAATACTGTTGAATGTACTGCTATGAAGCGGCACTCTGATGAACTGTTCATTCATATCAATTTCTCTGAACAGAGGCCATTCAGAAACATATTTACTTGTGGCAAAATATTAATTACTAATACATTTTGCACAGAAACACACTTCAGGCCCTTTAAGGCTCCTACATTTGTGTGCATGCTTGTTTACGTCTGTGGGATCAATAGCTAATCCATCTAATGCAAAATTGACAGTGAGGCACATTAGTTTTCTAAGAAAGTGGATTCCTTTTAATTAAGAGCTGTAAATTAGATTTTTACTATAAAGTCAATAAGGAAACCCTCTCCCATTCTAAGCTTGACCTGCCAGGCCACGCCCACTTGAAATAAATAAAATCGCATTGCCTACCTAACTCGATGTCTTATAATTTTTGGATTTTATTGCTCCCATTTGGCTTCCTCGCATTGCTTAATTCTCCCATCATTTGGGCCTCGCCTCCTGATGTGGCCCCTGGAGGAACGATGAACAGTCTCCCATCAATTGCAATCACATATCAGTGCTACAAAAAAAAAGAGGGCGGGAAGGAGGTAATTATTATGGAATGGAGGTTCAGGAGAGCAAAGTAACGACCACCTACCAACCGAATCCACCGCCTTGATGCTGTGTAATCTCCACTTCATCTTGCGAATAGCTTGAGCCATAATTTAGGGAATCCATAGGGCTGATCTCAGTAGGTGATGGATGTCACACTGGTGGAAGCCTGATGTGTAATTTTCTCCCTGCTCACCTGTGTTTATACAGAAACGCTAAAATAGACGAGGTGGTGGAGTTTAATGTGCGTAGAAGAGGAAAACGATAACAGCAACACCAGCTCAGATGCTCAAGAGCCGCTGCAGCTATTGAAACGGTGATGTCAAGAGCCAGCAGTGCTCTAAAACCTACACACATTAGGCCCGATTGACCTAATTATTTCACCTGATGCTTTGATCCAGCTGGATGATGGGTCTGAGTTTAACTTGGGAGGCAGTGATGAAATGCTGTCAGGGAAGCAGCCTTCCGGGTCAGATTTTATAGCTGCAGCTATAAACATGGATTTCTTCAGTCATTGGTATGCTGCAGGTCGCGTTCTCTTAGCCGTAACTGCTATGTGGCAGCAGAAATGTGGAGATGCACAAACACATGAACGACAAAACAGTGATGCAACAGCCATGTGTAATGTTTGCTTTTTGATTACTGATGGGATAAAACAAACAGATGGAAGGGGGGGGGGGGGGGGGGGGGGGGGGCTAGTGAAAGCTTACCGATTTTTAAATCACACGCTGCCTTGTCTCACTGTTAAAACA